ATGAATTTGCAGAAAAGTGATCCTGAAAAAAAGTATGATTATTAAAAATATACCATTTGTCAAATATTATTATTTATTTGATTAAAATGATGACATTAAAATACCTTTTCACTATTCGTAAGCATGTGTTATTCCTGTAAAACTGCTGTTCCTATTGCATTTTGTAATTGATAAAATACTTTTAAAGATAAAAAGCTTTCTATCTCTGTATCTTTTAACAGGACTTTTCCTTTGCTGCCCTTTGAACAGTATGACCCATGTTTTTATTTTCACTGAGCGGTGCTCAGTAGTTGGTGTAGCTTATGGCCACTTTTATTACAAGTTATCTCATTTAATTGTCTTAAACAAACCAGCCAGGCAGGCATTACCCGATTTTACAGGAGATGTTCCTGGGATCTAGACAGGTTAAAGGTCATGTCCAAAGCCACAAGCCATCAAGGGGCAGTGATGTAACTGGGAACAAAATCAGCCGCTTTTCAAAGCCCATGCTCCTGACTACCCCACACAGTCCCAGGGTGTTCAGAGAACGTCCCCAGACCTTCTCCTACAGCCCCAAGGCTAGACTACCGCTCTGTCAAAGGCAGCCTCCTGTGCTGCTGCTGTTGCTGTCATCCTCTGAGCCTCGGGAGATAATTGGAGCATTAAAGGAGCTTGGTCTTTTCAGTTTGTTCAGTGTTTCCTGCTGTGCAGAAATGTCCTCGTCTGAGGGAGTCCCACTTGTTTATCTTTGATTTTGTTAACTGTGCTTTTGGCATCAAATCCAAATAAATCGTTGCCAAGACTAATGTCAAAGAGCTTTTCTCCTGTGTTTTCTTCTAGGAGTTTTATCGTTTTATATCTTACGCTTAAGACTTTACTCCTTTTAGAATTGATATTTATGTATGGTGTAAGGTAAGGGTCCAATTTCATTCTTTAGCATGTTGAGATACAATTTTCCCAACACCATTTGTTGAAGAGCCTTTCTTTTCCCCGTAGTGTATTCTTGGCACTCTTGTCAAAGGTCAATTGACCGTATATGCGTGGGTTCATTTCTGGGCTCTCAGCCCTGATTCATTTGTCTATGTGTCTGTTTTCAAGCCAGTACCATAGGGTTTTGTTTATGGCTTTGTAACATAATTTGAAATCAGGAAGTGTGATGTCTCCAGTTTTGTTCTTCTTGCTCAAGACTGTTCTGAATATTCAAGGTCTTGCAACATTCCATACATATTTTAGGATTGTTTTTTATATATGTGTGAAAAATGCCATGGGATATTTTTAGACTCTTTTTAAGTTTAATTCATATTTTTCATAGGAAAGGGAGTAATAACTTAGTTGGAGGCAACCAAATTCCTCACTAACGTTCACTTGGTAAAATTTGAAATAAAACTGAATATTAATTTGATCCTTAAAGCACCCCTTAGTGCTTCAGAATGTAATTTTTCAGTAAGCTTGGAAATCTAAATGTATTAACACCATTTCATAGTTCTCGAATTTATTAATTTTATTCTATTTTTTAGTAAAAGTTATGTATATTTAAAGTGCATAAAATGCTGATTTGATATCCTCATACCTAGTGCAATGATTTCCACTGTCAATCTAATTCATAGATCTTCTCCTTACATAGTTACCATCTTTTGTGTGTGGTGAGAGCACCTGAAATCTACTCCCTTAGCAAATTTCCAGTATTCAATACAGTATTATTGACTATAGTCATCATGCTGTACATTAGATTTCTAGGCTTATTCATCTTACATAAATAAACTTTATACCCTTGAACCAGTATCTCTCCATTTCCCCCACCTCCCTACCCCTGGTATCCACCATTCTGCTCTCTGTTTCTATGTATTTGACTCTTTTGGATTCCAGTTATAAGTGACAGCATGCAGTTTTTTCCCTTTCTGTGTGTGTCTTATTTCACTTAGCATAATGTCCTGCAGGTGAATACATGTCGTTGCAAATGACAGGATCTTATTTTCAAAGGCTGAATAATATTCCATTGTGTACATTAACATTTTCTTTATATATCGTCCATTGATGGACAGTTAGGCAGTTTCCATATCTTGGCTATTATGAATAACACTGCAAGGAACCTGGGTGTGCAGATATCTCTTTCAGATGCGGGTTTCTTTTCCTTTGGGTATATACTCAGAAGTGGGATTGCTGGGTCACATGGTATTTCTACTTTCTTTTTTGAGGAAACTTCACATTGTTTTCCATAATGACTGTACCAATTTACATTTCCATTAAAGTGTATAAGAATTCCCTTTTCTCCACATCCTTTCTAACATTTGCTATACTTTTTTTTTATAATAGCCTTACTAACAGGTGTGAAGTGATAACTCATTGTGGTTTTGATTTGCATTTTGCTGATGATTAATGATGTTGAGCATCTTTTCATATACCTGTTGGGCATGCCTTGCAAAGGACACCACAAAGTGAAAAAGAAACCTATGAATTGAGAGAAAATGTTTGCAAACTACATATCTGATAATATCCATAATATATAAGAAACTCATACAACTCAATTTCAAAAGAACACACAACCTGATTCAAAAATGGGCCAAATATGGTAGATATATACAATGGAATACTACTCAGCCATAAAAAAGGATAAAATCGTCCCATTCACAACAACATGGATGGACCTTGCGGGTATTATGTTAAGTGAAAAAAGCTGGATAGAGAAAGACAATCTCTGTATGACACCACTCATATGTGGAAGTTAAACACATAGACAAAGAGAACAGATCAGTGACCACCAGGGAAAAGGGGGGGTGGAGGGTGGGCACAAAGGGTGAATTGGTGCACCTGCAACATGTATGACAAACAATAATGTACAACTGAAATTTCACAAGACTGAAAACTATCATAATCTTAATAAAAATTAAAAAAAAAAAAAAGAAAAGGGCCAAGTACCTGAAAAGACATTTTTCTAAAGCAGACATACAAATGGCCACTGGAATTTTGACAGGCATTGCAATGAAACTATAGTTGCTTTTGGTATACACCTTAAATTTAAGACAAAAAAAAAAAAGCTAGGCCTGAACTTGCAGGAGATAATTATTGAGGGTGTGAATTACTGCCACCTTGTGGAGACTCTTTGTCTTCTTAGTGGAAGATGCAGACCTCTTCTCATTTTCCTGCTTGCCTGGAGGGTGGGTGTATGCCTGCGGCATTTGTAGTTTCTTTTGTTTTTTCCTCGGTGAATCCAGTGAGAGCTCTAACAATTTTATTGATCATCTCCGTGAATCAGCTATTTTTTAAAAAATTTTCTCTACTGTTTGTCCATTTTCTTTTTAGCCACTTTTATCCTTTTTAGTTCGGTTTACCCCTCTTTGTTCTAGTTTGTTATGGCAGAAATTTAGATTGTTAATTTGTGGGTTTTTCTAACTTCTATCATAAAAGAATTTAATATTATGAATTTCTCTCTAAGCACTACTTTAGCTGCATTCCCATAAATTTTGCTACTTGGTGTTTTTGTTTTTAATCAGTTTAAAATATTTTCTAATTTTTCATGCGATCTCTCCTTTGATCCGTTAGAAGCATGTTGATTAATTTCCACATATTTGGGGATTTTTCCAGATATCTTTGTTTGTTAAAACCTTCTATATCTTTACTTTTCATCATAACTTTACTTTTCATCAGCTTTTTCTTTTTGTTACTGAGAAATGTTGAAATATCCAATTGTAATTGTTCATTTATCTCTTCCTCTTCTCATTTCTATCAGTTTTTCTTTAAGAATTTTGAAATACTGTTATTAGGTACTTTCTTATTTAGTATTAATATACATTCTTGGTGAATTAACCACTTTATCACTAGCAAAAATGCCCCTCCTTATCTCTGGTAATACTCCTTAACCTAAAATCTACTGGATTTACAGTCAATTAACCAACATAACCAATTCTGTTTTCTTCAGATTAATGTTTGCATAGTGTATCTGTGTCTATCCTTTTATTCTTAATCTATCTTAGTGTCTACATTTGATATCTCAGGTGAGCTTTTGGAGACAGTATGTATTGGAGTCTTACTTTTTACTGAACTGACAATCTCTCCCTTTAAGTCAGAGGGTTCAGAATCTTAGTACATTCACTCCATTGTGTAGAGCCAACTTTCATTGGTATGATTTTGCTTCTGCCTGAAAAAATTCTTATTTGTTTATGTTTATGCTGCAGGTTTGCTGGAGAGGAATTTTCTTAGCTTTTTTCATTGTTGTTTAAAAAGGTTTTACCTTTTTTCCTTAAAAAATAGACTATTTTTTAGAGAAGTTTCAGGTTCACAAAAATTTTGAATGAAAGAAATGAAGATTTCCATATACCCCCTGACCTCATGCTTGCACAGCCCCCTGTTATCAACATTCCCACCAGATGGGACAATTTTTACAATTGATGAAGCTGCATGGACATGTTGTTATCACCCACAGTCCATTTTACCTTCATTTTTGAAGTATATTTTTGCTGGTATGGAATTCTAGGTTGATATATTTTCTCTCATCATATCTGTAAGTATTCCTCCGTTTTATTCTGGCTCATAGAGATTCTGGTGAAAAGCTGTCTGTGATTCCTCTTTTCATTCCTCTGTATTTAATGTGTCTTTTCTCTCAGGTTGCTTTTAAGATTTTCTATCACTGGATAAAACAATTTGATGATGATGTACTGAGTGTAGTTTTCTTTATGTTTATTCTGCTTAGATTGCTTTGAGTACTAAAGCTGTGGGTTTATGGTCTCATCAAATTTGGAAAAAACAGACTTGTTTGTGCAACTGTAGAGCCAAGGGATCATTTCAGGAAGAACAAGCAGTCCAAGTTCACTGGGTGTAAAATTTACAAGAGGGGAATAAAATCAAATAACCCTCGGAAAATCAGTTTAGGTCCCTTGTGGATTCCTTTAGAGACTATACTTTATTTGAATGAAAGGTGAGCCTTTAACACTTTCTAAGTTGCCTATTTGGTAACACCAAGCACAAGAACCAGAATTTCAAACAAAACAAAAACAATCGAACTTTTAATTTTTTTGAAACAGTATTTAATTTGTTTTTGCTTCTATAAACTTCAAGGAGGCATTTTTGCAATTTCCAACATTGTCATCTTGTTTCTGGATTTTTCATTTCTTTTTCCGGCAGCATTTTCGGCCACTCACAGAACAGCTGCCTATCTGTTCCTCCTTTGGAAGGCAGCCAAGCAAAGCACACCGGCCCTTTCTTATTTTGCAATAAGATTTTTGTAACATATTTATTATTCCTCCATTTCCTGCAAAAAAGAAAGAGAACACATAGAGAAGATTTAGGAATGGCTAAGCTAATAAAACTGAGGTCTATCGTTCTGTTCTCAGATTACATCAATCTTTCCTGTTAGCATTAACGTTTTAACATCACTTTCTTCATGTCTCATTAACAGGTATAACAGTCTTCCCATGAAAAGGTGGCTTCTGTGGGCTGTTTAGCCTGTTCAGAGTGTATCAGAAAAGATTGGGATAGCTGCTTTAAGGTTGTTGATGATCCTTGTCAGAAACAACAAAAGAAAACTACTGTCTATTTCCCATCCAACAAATTTACTTGGTCTAAAGTTCCCTGGAGAATGGACAGGTGAAGCTAACTGTGCGACCTTAGCCTGAATTGTAATTTCTCAATTACAATTGAGAAATTGTCATTTGAATTGTCATTTCTCAATTACAGTTGAGAAATTGTAATTTCTCTGAGTCTGAACTGTCGTTTCTCAATTCTTTCAACCCTCTCGTTTCTCTGCCCATCTTACCTGGAACAGGCATCAAGAACAGAAAGAGCAATGCGAAGAGAAGGAAATGGATCCTCATGACTGACGGGCTTTGTAGCACGCTGAGACTGGATGGAGAGACATAGTTGTTCACTTTATAAAGGTTCTAGCCATAGGTAGAAGTAAGGAATGGCTGCAATTCCTGTAATATTACAGTGATGACAATATGACGCATTTCCTGATGCTTCATGCCCATGTCTCTTACCACACAGACAACGCCCACTCACCCAGGAGTCAGGGACAAACCTAATGGCTGAAGTAGATTTTGACATGAGCATACAGTTATCCTGATGCCCTTTAGGCTCCAGGAGCTTGTCCAGGGCTGGCTCAGACCTGGTTGTAGATATAGGTAGGGAAGACCTGCCACCTTTTGGAAGCAGTCCTAGGGCATGTAGCTTGGGGCTGACTTGTCCCCAGTGTGGTACTTCTAAGCTTTCTGCCTTCTTTCTAAAGTCCTGGGAGAGCCTGAGACCCACTGGAGAAGCTCATTAGTCCAGCCTTGGACATATTCAGAGTCTAGGTGTCAGCTCAGGCTGGGTCACACCCTGAGACTGCACACATTTGGCTGAAATTGAGATAAAACAGATTGTCTTTTAGGTGGTAAGAAAAGGGAGGAAAAATGGGCTACATTGCAGAGCCCCTGACCTGATGCCCCTTGACCGTGATAGGGAGATATAAATAGGGTGAAACTCAGCTTATACTTCATCATTGTCTGAAAACTGCCAAATTCATGAGTCAAGAAGGTGTCTCATTTTCTTTCATCAGAGGAGGAGAATGCTGAGATGATCAGTGTGAGGACTGCATATCTTCCTTGTGGATGACACTCCCTACACAAATGAGGGTCGGAAGAAAACATATTTAAGATCTCTAGGTACTCTTGGCTCATGAGCATTCAAAGAAGTCCAGGGATCGATAATTTCCGATGTATATAGATTCAAAGTGTAGAGGGTCAATTTCTTCGTTTTTTTTTTTTTAGACTTAAGCGTTATGGAATCCAATCAGAGGTTATATTTGCCAACAGAATATTTAATTGAGAACTGAAGTCACCATGTTGCTTGGCTGTTGCATTGTGCCTGTGCAGTTATAATGGATCCACCCAGGTTCAACTCTGTGTTAGTTCTAGGAGTGTGTGTTCAGGATCCTGGTGAACCTATTCGATTCTGTAAGCAAACTGAACACCTACTATAGATAGAGTTAAGTACCATGTACTTGGGTGTAGGTAGGGGGCTTAGATACAAAGAGGGGCCTATGCTGGTCTGTCTCTCAAGGAGCTCCCATGGAGGTAAGGCAGATGGACACACAGTGAAATAAACCATCGGGAGTGGATTTTGATAAGTGTCATAATAAGGGTTCAAGCACAGGGCTGTGGAAATGCAGAAGAAAGGTAATTCCTGCTGAAGGCGAGTTAAGATAGCACATTTAAAAAGAATTTGTAGTCGTAGACACTTCATCTTTCTAAGATCTCCCTTTCCTCTAGAGTTCAGGATTTGAGACAAAGCAGGTATTCTTAATGGGAAGGAAGTGAGTGTGGGGTGGCATGGGTATTGACTGAGCAGAGAGTCTTACTCTGTCTTAGGATAAAAGAGAGAGGGCGGGGCGGACGTTGTAGAGAATTATAACCGGCTCTCAGCCCAGGCGCAGGGCTGGACTCCTCAGACCCTCAGGTCGCTGGTGACGATCTGCGTCTCCACGTGGGAACAGCCCTCCACAGTTTAGACCCCCCTCCTTCAAAGACTGGGAGGCATTTGTAGGGCAACGGCACTATTTCATAAAAGGTTCTTTGGGAATAAATGCCACTTTTTCCTGTCAGCTAATTTGCAAGCTGGGGATTGAGGGTTAGGCTATGGCAGTAGAACCCTCTCCACTCACAAAATAAGTTTTGAGGTCCATTTCTTTTATTTTTTTTAAAGATTAGCACCTGAGATAACATCTGTTGCCAATTTTCTTCCTTTTTTTCTTCTTCTTCTCCCCGAAGCCCCCCAGTACATAGTTGTGTATTCTAGTTGTAAGTCCTTCTGGCTCTGCTATGTGGGACACCACTCCAGAATGGCTTGATGAGCAGTGCTAGGTCCACGCCCAAGATCTGAACCAGCGAAACCCTGGGCTGCCAAAGCAGAGCTCATGAACTTAACCACTTGGCCACGGGGCCAGCCCCTGAGGACCATTTCTGTATTTTAAAAACATTATAGGGGCCAGCTCGGTGGTGCAGCTGTTAAGTTCACACATTCCACTTCAGTGTCCTGGGGTTCACCGGTTTGGATCCCAGATGCCAAACTACGCACTGCTGGGGAAGCCATGCTGTGGCAGGCGTCCCACATATAAAGTAGAGGAAGATTCGCACAGATGTTAGCTCAGGGCAAATCTTCCTCAAAAAATAAAATAAAATAAAATAATCTAAAAAATAATTATAAAAGTTGTGGATGTTTGTGGTAAAAATTTAAACAACAGAAGAGTGAGACAATGTCCGTCACTTCTGCTCTCCTCGGGGAACCACTGGTAAGTGTGGTTTTCCTTCTTTTGGCTTATTATACCTTTTTTAAAAAAAAATCAAAAGTACTTTTAGCCTCTCAGGTAACAGCTGTTACGCATTTGCTGTCTAATGATAAATATGTGCCTGTGGAGTGTGATGACACTAATGAGAGCTGCTGTCACTCCCTGGCCCCAAGGCTTCGAGTCACCAGGGCTTGCGATGCAGACCCTGCAAATGTTGTGCTAGACACACTAGGCTTCCTCCCAGCTCTGAGTCACTGTTCTTTTTTTTTCCATGTTGATTGGGTCAAGAGAGGACAATCTAAAGTTATTCAACATTTTTGTTCATGTTAGACTTTCCTCTAAATTCCTCTATTATTTTTTCTTAATTCTTTTTTTAAAATATGGAGCAGAGGTTTGGTTGATCCAAGTTTTTGGTTGAGGGGCAGCTCTCTGTGGAGGGTGGAACACTAGGTTTGGAGGGAGACGTGACCAGTTTAACTCTCAGCCCTATCCTTCGTTCTTTGGGTTTATTTGATTAATTCCTTAAGCTTTTTGAGCCTCTGTACCTCAGCAGTAAAGCACAGGGTAACACATCTTGTGCACAGTGAAAGCCTATGAGTTAATGAAGTGAAATATATTATAAACATCAAATGACCATCTGACCGAAGTGTCACCTATGTGGCCGTTCTGAAGAATTACCAGACAGGGGTGGTGAGCAATATCAAGGCAGAGGAGAGATTGTGGTGTGGGCTGCCAGCAAGGGAATCCAGGATTTTAACTCTTTTCTTTACCTTAACATAATCTCAGGCTGCTCATTCATTCTCCTTTGCTGCTATTTCAATCTAGGCATGACCACTGATACGTAAGTTCTATAGGCAAAGACAGGCATTGTCTCAGTTTTACAGATGAAGAAACTGAAGCTGGGAGAGCTGCGTAACTTGCCCTGGGCCACCCAGCTAGTAGGTGGCAGTGCTCTGAACTGCAGGTGACTATCTACATTTCCCAGGCACCCCTACCCTCCAGGTATCATACAGATTGACCAAAGGGAAGCACTGGCTGAAGATGAGAGGGCAGGAATTGGTGAGACACTAGGATCTTTCTCTTCCTGTACTTTAGGAGGCATCTCCTCTGTGCCTCCAATTCCTACCAGAAGGCCGCTTCATCCATGATCCTTCCAACAGGCCCATCTGCCAAGACTCAGTAGGGGGTCCATATCCTAGGCTTTGGGAACATTACCTCCTTCCTGCCTTTGTCCTCCTAGACCTAAGGATAGTAGTTTCTTTCTGCTGTTGCAAATTCTGAGGTAACTCGCCATACATTTGGACTTCTCAGCTCTCTCCTATCACCTATATAGACAATTGCCTATATTGAATTCCCCCTTTAAGAGGCTTAAATTTGTTTCAGTTTCCCTTGTCGTCAAAGTCTGTGCTCTAAAACTTCACAATATTAAAGTTCCGTTCATTCTTCCTTTGGTGGTGACATTACCATATGGTCGCCAGCTAGAGTAAGACTTTGCTACACACTGCCCTCCGGTGTACTTTATCAGCATCAGAAGAGTCAGCACATGGAGGACTCTTTGAGACAAGGGTATGGAGTTGCCAGTAGCTACCATCTCGTTGTGGCCCCTCGTTTATACTTTCTCACAATAGTGTACGCTTCCTTTGCAGGTGTGCATGTGAGGCAGTCTCCAGCATTCCAATTTTTCACTGTTATTTTAGCTTACTTGTTTCTCTCCAAAAGAATGTAAGCAAGGAAACTGGAGCAACAACATTTCCCCAACTATAACCACAGAGAACATTTTCTTCTGGAAGGCTGGCAACTGTAGGCCTTTAGTCTGGGACCCTCTATGGAAATGTTTTGTTTTGTCAGTGAATTAGGCCTCCATGGAGGTTTAAAAATCAGCTTAGTCCTTTGTCTCATTTGCCTGCTTTGTGTATTTACATGCTGTGTCTCCTGAAAGCCTCCGAGCTTGATTCCTGCTTTAGAAGACAGTGTCTTCCCTGCAAGCCCAGGTCTGAGAGGCTTCTCCACATGGGGAAGTGGACTAGAGGAAACACTGGGTAAGGGAGTTGTCTGTCTCCTCCAAACTAGCTGGGTGTAGACAAATTCTTTATAACATCTTCAGGCAGAAAGCTTTCTTGGCAGATTTTCATCATCCAGGCATGAACAATCATTGTTGATCCTTTAGCTTCCTGCAAATACCCTTGACTTGTAAACACTTTATTTGATATTGTCCTCCATCCACTATATAAAAAGAAAAGAAAAAAGAGGAAACGTGCAAAGAAGTGAAAAGGGTTGGGCCTGAGGGAAACCTGGCTCAGCATGAGTCATAGGACTCATGAGCTGGTTAATTTGGTGGAGCAGACCCGGTCAGAGACACAACCATTCTCACCAGGAGCCAGAGTGCAAATGTGGGGAAGCACAAGGCAAATTTAGGAACAGTGATTAGTCTAGTCTGGCCAAAGACTAGTGGACAAGCAATTCATGAAAAACTAGATCCCAGATTTCAATTATCTAACATGCTGAACCCACCAACAACTCCTTCAATAAAGACTGAGGAGAAGGGCTGAGAAAGCTGTACATACAATTGGGCCAATGAGCCTAGTGGTCACTCTTTCAAAAATATTTGTGTTTTAAAGACCACTTATATAGTCTACCAGCTTGTGATGTCAATGGATGACTCTGGTCAGGGAGCCTGACCAGTGTGAGATAGGATGTTGAAGCCCAGGGACATTCACTGGATCGCAGCCACCCTGTCCTGCTCCTCTGCGTCTCAGCAGCAATGTGGTTCTCAGAGCACCTAGGCAGTCCAGAGGGAGGAAG